ATTCCCTCCCACAAAAAGATTTGTTTTTTTGAAATCGCCGCGCCTTCCCGCCAACAGCTAAGAGAAGCAGTTCGGGCGAACTACCGAACTTAAGAAAGCTGGCCGAAAGCCAGTTTCAGAAAGCGTTTACTAGGGCAGTTATTTTATCTTATGGCCGTTTTTCTTTCAAGAGGAGGGTCCAAAATACTGCAGTTCCATCTACACAGAGTCTGGACTCAGTTAGAACAAGCTACCAAAATACATGAAGTGACTTTATTGTTGGACTCAGTAAATATTGGACCTTCTACAAGCAAGTAAGGCTATGCTATGAAGTTATACTCGTGTCCTTTTTGCAGTTATCTCTGTCAAGACTAACTCGTGCGCAAGAAAATCATTTNGAATTTCGACGCTTCCATCCGTGCGTTTAAAAAAAAAAAATGTCCCATCCACGGGACCAACCAAAGCGGTCTCATCAGCTTCTTCGTTCATGTTTGACTATTGTTCACTGTGGTTTGTTGTTGTCTGAAGTCATGAACGTTAGTTGGTGCTCCAGTATAATCGGTACGCCTGAAACTCATCCAGTGAGAAACGTTCCGCAGGGCAAAAATAGGTGCGATTACAATGCGTTAATTTTTTTAACGCGTTAATGTTTGTGTAATTAATTAATCTTAATTAACGCGTTAAAGTCCCGGCCCTAATTATCAGACAAATTGCTGTGGAGATAGAATTGAGATATGCATTTTCCTGTCTGATGTTAAAGGGGCTCTATTAATATTCTTCATCACATTGTAACACTAATGCTGCGTTCGACACCGGACGCGATGCGAATATTCGCTTCGCTCTAATCGCTCGAGTTTCACCGCGGCTGCCAGCTGTGTTTACTCGCATCATTCAACAAGACGCGCTGGCTCGGGAGCTACAACTACAACGAAATGAACATATTTTACAGTGATTGAATTGTAATACACGTTTCTAATTGATGCCGACGTAACAACATACTGATACCGGTTAGTGAAAACCATGAGTTAATGCTTTGGCAAGTCTGCAGACAAGACGGCAGGCGAAAAACCTTTTAAAATGCTTGTTTTCTGAATGTAGATTGGGTCGACCAGGCTAAGCTAACGTTGTATATGCTCATTCCACACTCATAACAACAGCCTACAGACATAAATAAACCAGCGACTGTATTCACCATGACACAGACAGTCTGTGGTTTGTTCTTGTTTAACTTCTGTCCAGTTTCTGAACAGATATGAGGAGCTGTGATCTCTGTGTGCTAACTGCTAACAGCTAATGGCTGATGTTTTCTGGTTGAACGTCAGTGACGGCAGGCTGAAATCCTCACCTCTGTGGCTTCCGCGAGAACGCGTCACGTGAATTTGACGCTCGAGTTGAAAAAATTGAACTCTCGCGTTTGACGCGGCCCCCTTCATTCGCCTCAATCGGGTGATTCGCGCCGCGTCCACCGCTTCATGCACGCCGTCGGAGCAAATTCGCGTCTGATCGTGTCTCTGCATTGACTTTACATGTAATCGCGCCGCCCCCAAACGTCGCATCGCGTCCGGTGTGAACGCAGCATAAGGCTTCTACTGTTCAGCGCTCCAACACATTGTACGTGTAGGCTAAGGGGCGGGACATCTATAAGCGGTTAACCAATCAAAACAGAGCCGCCCGGCCAACCAATCAGAGCTGACTGGGCTCTGGTTTCAGACAGAGGGTGAAAAGAGGTGCTGCAGGACAGGCAGTATGAGAAAAATAAAGAGCTTTTTGAACATTAAAGCATGGAGACATGTCACAGTAGAGACACAACATGCAAATATGGACCTGAAAATGAGCAGGATAGCCCCTTTAAGCAATACATCAATTCACTTTTATTGAGTTTTCTTTAACTTCAATGCTCCCTCATAATACACCTTAGAGTAACTCTACTGGTTGTTTTTAAGGTGAATTTGTGCATTTTTCAGACTTTGTTCAAGGAATCTCCGGGGAAAATGTTCAGCAGAGGTTGTAAGCCACTTAAATCCAGACGCAATTTATCTTGTGATCTATTTACTTAATAAATAAGCAACAATAGCCACACTTATTCAATATGTGGAATTTGCCACTTCAAATAGTACATCAGCCTTTTTCCCTGGAGCGGAATGTCTTACTTTATGAATGTGTATTAATTTTTTATGAGCGGAGGTGGTGTTTAATTCAGGCGAAGTGGCCCGTTGCCACTTAAAAGCTCTGAGGGGAACCCTGTCATTTAGCTGCCATCATCATTTTTAATCCTGCAAAGTTTCACACAGTAAAAAGCATCTTGTGAATGTCTTGAGAAGATTTGTTTACTCATCAAAGCGCACTAATATTTATGTCATACAGCTGGTTTTAGTCCATCCATGTTTAAAACCTTTAAAACTAGTTGTGTTTAAACAATATTAATGAATGAAAAACACATTTTAAACAATTAATCATTGCCTCCAGCTTCTCAAATGTAAATATTTTCTTCTTTGCTCTGTTTTGATGTAATGGTAATCTTCATTCGTCACCAATTTAAATGATATATTAGTTTATCTGCAGATGATTGGCTAATCAAGTAAATATCTGGTAAAGCTGCACACTTGGTGGTTTTTGAGATATTTTGAGGATGTTGAATCAATTTCGGACATTTTAGGGATAAAACATTGCAGTTTTGAGTCACCTAAAACATTCAAATAGACCCAAATTACTTCAAAATAAGCCCATTCAGAGCACAAAAAGGGCCTCTTGCTGATTAAAACTGCCGTTTTTGATACTGCAAATGTCAGAAATGATTTCAATAACCTCCAAAACCACTCCAAAATGTTCCAAATCGTCCAAGCCATTTTTTGTACTATTGTCTGCACAGGCTAATTAATGCAAATGAATGCATGTTATGCTAAAAGTGCAAAATTGCCCAACTTATGCAAGTTAGCATCCGGCAGTGTCTATGTGCTGAGGACCCTTACTATACATTCCTAACATAAAACTTTGGGGTACACAACATTTCCAGGTTCATAATAGGACTATGGGCTGGCTCACAGACTAATAAGTAAATTAGTAAAATACAACATTTATACCGGTGTATTTTGAGGTAAAAGGTTTTTGCTGCTGGTGCTCGGCGGCCGCTCTTCCCTCCCAAGGTGATTTGAAAGTCAGAGCCCAGTCGGTGAGTCTGAGGCACAGAGGGACGCAGCGAGGCGACGACACAGCGAGGTTCAAATAATGTCAAGTGCTGAGGGATGATCCCGATGCAAGACAAACTGAATGAACTGAAATGAAGGCCTCCCGACAGATAAGGTCAGCAGATAAAGAGCACAGGGATAGTTCTCGTCGCATCAAGACCATCGCAGGATGATATTTGGTAGCTGGCTAGTTACTGTAGCTCTGGATTTAAGTGGCTGCTGTGTCAGAGAAAATGGGATGAGTCATACAAACAGACTCCGGGCTGTGATGCTTTCTACCAAACAAAACCCTGTCCAACGATTCAGAAAAACATGTCTACCTGCTTATTCATGAAAGACCTGTCTCCACATCAAAACAACCACAAACTAATAGAATTTCTTTGATAAGTTGTGCAATTTGTTATTTATGTTTTAGGCTTAGAGATCCTCTGCTTACCCCCAGCACTGCGTTATATTCATTAATAAATAAGAATAGACATTTCAGCTGCTGATTATTGTGACATCAGGACCCTATATGTATTTTAAAAGGCCTTTTCCAGATGTAAACAAACAAAAAAATGTGTATAATGCACAACAGAGTAGGGCTGCAATTATTTTCATTACTGTTAAATCTGCCTTTCGGTCTATTGAAAAGTCAGCAAATCGTGAAACATGTCCATCCCTGTTTCCAAGGAGACATCTTGTAATGTCCATCACTGAAATATATTCAGTTTTATATAATAGGAGAAAAAAAGAAAAGCAGGGAACCTGAGAAGCTGATAACAACATTTTCTGCCACTTTTGCATTAAAAAGGTCTTCAATTATTGAGATGGTTGGCAATTAATGTTCTGTTGATCAACTAATTGATCCATCAACTAATTGCTGCAGCTGTAGAACAATGCAAAGACAACATTGTACACATACACTAATACTGTAGATAATGACACAGTATAAAACTGGTTAAAAAGCAAAAATACAAACTGTAGAATTGTTACGAACTCAGACACTTAGGAGGTAGGACCCAATTGCACGACCCGGGAGACAGAGGTAAAGTATTTGTAAGATACTTTATTTTTTCAAGAACAGCAAAAATGATCAACAAAAAAATGGAGAACAAAATGAAAACGCTCACGTAGTGAGGATCAAAAACTTTCACAAGAGCACTTAGAGAGCATAGACCTGACTGTGGCAAAAGACAAGAGCAAGATCTGACCATGGCACTAGACAAAAACGAACTCACAAGGAACACTGGGGAACAGGGGAATTTAAACACAAGACAATCAGACACAGGTGGGAACAATCAGGGGCGGGGCTGGCGCTGATGAGTCTGGAATGACAGGTAAACGGTGAGTGACAAAACAAAACAGGAAGTGGAAGACAATACAACCAAAAAACAACATAAATCTCAACATTTCTGTCGGTGCACAACAAGAATCTCTTCTAGTAAAATGATTTATCCTCGTATTCTGCCAACAAAACACTTGGCTATTAGCATATTCGTGTTGATAGATGGTTATGTTATGTTCTTTTGACCTAATAGTTGAGCAGACTGGTGGCGCATGAATATCAGGGCTTACAGATTCAAGATCCAAGGCTTTACTTGTCATTCGTGCATAGCTACAGTTTAGTTATATCGATGAAAATCTTAGGTCCCAGGTTCCTCCAACAGTGCAATACAATAAAATAGTGCAAGTAAATACAATCAAATAGAAGTAGTGCCATAAGAGTGATACATAATGTGTAAGTTACAAACAGGTGAATGTTATGGATGTTCTTAGTTCAGGGCACTGTCTGAAGATGGTAATGATGAAAGAGGGTCCGGTGCAGCATGTGACCCTGTGCTGTTGTGTCCCCAGAGCAGCGGGAGGTGGAGCCGGAGGAGGGCAGCGAGGGCCAGGAGGAGGAGGGCCAGGACTCGCCGATCACCTGCGGAGACGACATTCACCTCTACGACAACCAGCTCAGCCCCGGGCCAGGTCAGTGCAGAGATATATATAATATACAAAGGTGGAATAAGTCATTTGATTCTTTACTTAAAGGGGACCTACCATGCAAAATGCACTGTGATGTCTTTTATACATAAATATGTGTCCCCCCCGGTGCGTTGGGGAACTCACGCAGCGTCAGAAAATAAAACCCTCTCTCTTTTCCTCCATACCCAAATCTTTTTAAAACGGGTGTACAACAAGTGGATACAGATTCCATCCGGAATGACGTCAATTCGGCGGCGGACCCACAGAAAGTTGCTATCAGAAACAATGCCTGACTTGTTTTGGACGTCTTTGTTTACATTAGCAAGCCTCGCTAACACTCAGAGCTAACCTGTACTGGAGAGCACATGTGTTTTAAATCAACAAAAAATGGAGAACAAAATGAAAACGCTCACGTAGAGAGGATCAAAAACTTTCACAAGAGCACTTAGAGAGCATAGACCTGACTGTG